TTAGACCTAAAATCGAAGCTCTAAAAGATCATTTTATACCCAAATTAATCAAACTTGTCAATAAATGGGATCAAAGTTGAAGAAAGTTGAGTAGAAGTTTAGTTATGCGTTTTGTCTTTCTTAAAGGCAGGACGTCCTGCACAGAGAATTTCTGATAATGAAATAGCCTTTCGTTCCCCCTTATGGAGGTATTAAACTTTTTGCTGATTTTCACTTTCAAAGTTTTCTGTCCTTATTCTTATTGTACAAGTTACTCTTCCGGTAAGGTAGGTCATCCTGGCAGAACATGGCAGTAAGCTTAAACCGTGGGAAATGTGTTTGATCTTTTTTGTCATACAAGAGGGAGGACGAAGCTTAGTTATTCTAATACAGTGAAAAGGTTGAAAGAAGAAAATAAAACCCACCCTGTGATATGTTTCACCATGTCAACAAGGCAATTTCACCTCCCTCCTCGCAGCCCAATTCAAAAGAAACCGAATTCTGGCCCAATTCAGGACCCCATCTCCCTGCTTCCGCACATCAATGAATCATACCCACGACACCAAAGGTCTTCCTCCCAATCTCTCATGGAGGAGCAACCAGCATGGCTTGACAACTTGAATGACTCAGAATCCAGTAATAAAGGGATTGTTCACCGTCGATCTGTGAGTGACTCAGTTACCCTTCGACACGGCCTTGCAGACTCATTTTCAAGTCTGAGTCCCAAAAATGATGAATTTTCAGTTGATAATGTATCTTATAGTGGATGGAATTCTGTTAGTTTGTATGGTCCCAATTCCCCTCGGCAAAGAGGCAGCTTATCATTTTCAGAGAATGCCTTAGTTTCAGCATTATCAGAGTATACTTCTAATGAGCCTATACGAAACATGGATGGGATACTATGCATTGGTCACTCTGATTCAAAAGGAGATGATTGCCATTCAATTGGTGAGCTCAATGCAGAGATGAGGGCTGTAAAACGGTTAGTATCTGAACTTTCACTTGTCTATTTGTCAATTTAACTTTCTATTGATTCTTCATGTAACATAACTGCTCTTTGCTATTCCTCAACTTAGCAGTTCATAGCCACGGTCTTCAGCATCACTTTTCAGGCATGTGGTTCCAAAATTCTGATGAATAGGTGCTTTACCTCATTGTGTTTGATTAATTTGTTGTCACAGATACACAATTTGCTTTAGTAAGAGTGTCACTTCTGCTGTATATCCATACAGCGGTGCTGGTCTTCACCTCCACTTGTATCATAACTTTGTTTTATCTTCTAAAAATAGCCGTTCGCTCTGGTTGATGTCCTGTTTGTTAAGTTTATTTGCTTAATCTGATAAATAAGTCTGATCCTGTGTTCCTTCCAATTATAAAGTAGAAATTAGGGATAAATGATGGATAACTTCCTTGAAGTTAGGCCTGACATTGTAATTCCTGGGCCTTTGACCATTTGATGCTATTCTGAAATTTGTGTTTCTTTCATATCCGTAATCTGATGATGTTATTTGGATTTTAGCACTTATATTTAGAAACAGAGGTTCCACTGACAAACTCTCAAGTACTTTATGTAAGTTGAAAAATACCTAAAAGATTTATCCAGCTTTGCAAAGGATGGTTAGCAAGGTAACTTGCAAACTAATTTGACAAACAATGTATACTGGGCTTATGGTAGGTGGTTGGTTGTTTGTTCACATACACATGTATGAGTCTGTAGGATTGCATACATTATTTCTCTTACGATATAAAATAATTGTTGGCCCCACATCCTAATACTTTAAGCTTTTGGGAACAATGGTCAATTAACAAAATTTATGACGATATCAGAAAACGAGTTCCTAATTTCAAATCGTTGCAATTGCAATTTCCAAAATAAGTTGAATTCCCTAAGTTTGGCATGTCTGATTTCTGCATATTTTACCCATGTCTATTATGTGTCTCCATGAATTCAAGCTGGATAATTGTCTGCTTGAGTAAGCCACTGATTGATTTTCTGCAGGCATCCTGGGCAGCGCTCAAGGATTCGAAAGTTACAGTATATTGCTGAACTAGAAAGAACTGTTGATGTTTTGCAGGTAATTCTTATTTTAGATGGAATATGATAGTTTTCTGGTTGAGTTTATCCTTGCTGCAGTAGCATGCAAAGGATCGTATTCATTTCCTCCTTTTCTTCTTACTTACCTATTAGTACAATATTACATGCGTTATTACGATTCTCTCATATTGCTTGAGGATCAAAACTTTTGCTTGTATGATTTCCCATGGTCTCCATTAAAATGTCTAAAAACTACGTAGGCTGTCTGGACACATTTTTCTTTTGCTGAAAGCATAGGTCAATTTTTGTTTTTGTTTTTTTTCCTTTTCACTGCTGGAAATGTTGGTCATCTGATCATAGAGCTAGGGTAATTATCATCATTATCATCCTTGCCACAATCTATCGGTCAATGAATAGTCGTCTTTCATTCCTTTTCTATTATATACTAATTAAGTCTAAGTTGTCACAGACTCTTTTTTATCATTTCATCCTGTGCAAGTCTTGGCCGGTGTCTTGATCTTTTACCTTCTCTTTTAATTAGTCTTCCCTTGGCCATGGGAACATCTAGTGGTCTGCGATGTATAGCATAAGTTAATTATGTACATAATTATAATGTAGGCACTACAATAATATACGTATACTCGACTAGCCTTGGTTTCAAGATTTAAGGATTGAGACAGCTAGCTTTGGGGCCCATAGTCAGAACGGACATTGTGTCTACAAAGTCATTGCTTTTGTGCAATATGGCAACACAAGTGTCTGCTAGCTTCAATCCTCAATCCCTTGTGTTGATTCTGTTTCATTTGTTCTCAACTACGTGCTGGCTAGGTTTGTAATACCATATTCTATTCAAGTAAAAACTTTCAACATGGCAGCTGATTGAAATCTTGTCTCATCAAACAGACTTTGGAGTCAGAGTTAGCTGTTAAAGTTGCCTCTCTGCTTCAGCAGCATGTTGCCTTGTCTATGGAAAATAACAAATTAAAGCAGCAGCTGGCAAGACTGCGACAGGGAAAATTTATCATGGACAGTGAGTTTCATCAACTTTCTGCGGCAAGACCTTCATTACTTAACTTTCTTTTTTCTCCCATAAACTATTCAAGTAACTACCCATTGGCTACAGAAATTTTCTGGTATATGCTTCGCACATTCGTCATCAAGAAATTTGAATTGTAAGCATTGCATAAGTGTTTAGGAGGAACATTCTATTAGGAAGTGATGAGATGGCATCTGTATGCAAAGCAAAATAAGTTGATAAATAAAGAGAATTGAAATATCCATATTTGCCTCCATCAGAGTCTCAGACTTAAACTTGCTTTGCATTTAGAATGTTCTGTTGATGATCAAAGAGTGTAAGAAATTGTTGGGTGATAATAATAATAATAAAACCTAATACTCATATCAGTGTCATTGAGAACTTGATTTATCTATATATTACTGCAGCAAATAACAACTTTGGATTTCCACATATAAAATTCATGGAATACGTCAAGATTGAAGCATATTATTGTCTTTTTCTTAAATGGTTATGCCTGTTAATTTTGCTGCAGGTCAGTATCAGACTCTGAAGAAGGAAATCAAGAGATTGAAGATTGGTTTAACAAATCCCCGAAACAAGAAGGTTGAAGCATACTTTGGTTCAAGTTCTACCACTGAGGCAGCTAGAGTTGAGGCTATGCAGAATCTAGATATGGGAAAACTTACTCTTTCTTGAAACCAAAGATGCCGTTACTCTTTCTTGGAACCGGAAAAAAAAAACAGTACTTTTATGGTTGTCAGTGTTGTGCCATGAAAGAGGTGGCTCTTTTCTTCAAATGCACTTTACTAGGAAGTTCCAGCAAGAGCATCACCGTGTTGCTGGTTGGCAGAGTCCCCATTCTGATTGCTCCCACGTAAATTTGATGTTGGACTTGGTCCTCTTTGAACTAATACTTAATATATGAAGGGAACAGAAATCATCATTTACCTTATTTTTGTGTCCGTACAAATGCTGTGGTGGATGCTTTTGAACACTCAAGGAAATTCGCTTATTAAGGGACACTTTGCCTTTAGATCGATAGTATGCTGGCAAATTTCCTTCATGTGAAAGGTTGGGGTATCGAAAGCTGAGCTCCTTTGAACTGTTTGATAACATTGCTATCTTGGTGATAAACTGAAAATGAATGACAAGCCCTTGTTCTGGTTCTTTAGCACATTACAATACTTGGAGGATTCAAAAGTATACAGGGTAGTTGAGGGATCCCTATTTTGGGATTTGAAATGCCGGTCGACTAACTTATCCACGCAACCAGCTTCTCACATCCTACATCTTGGATCCCGTTTAAGAGGTAACAAAAGCTACTAGCACTTTTTTTTAAGCAAGAAGAAAATTAGTAAACGGAAATTTTTATGATATAAAAGGTGAAATACATAGTATGAGGATACGTCATTATGTTATAAGAACAGTAAACAAAACAAATAAATCGTCAGTCATATAATGTAAGACCAGCCGTATGTGTTTATTTTTTTGTGGGTCGGAATCAAGTTTCATTGATATAAAGGCAATGCCAATTACAACATAGTGGAACTCATAAAAATGAGTACAAACAAATGCAACAGTAAAAATCACTAGAAATAAAACTCAAACAAGCATAAAGTCTACAAATGGCTTAAAGCCAGAGCCCAAAACAGACATAAAGTTAGAGTAGCCGTTTAGCACGGCTAGATTGGTTTAGCCATGAGGAGGAAGCAAAGTTGCAAACTTCATCTCTAAAATGCTAGTCTCCTAAAGCACCCATCTTTAAAGAAAATGGACAAGTCAAAATTATCAATGCCTTTAACCACCTAGATCTTATTCCCATTAAAATCCCAATTGTAAAGAAAGGAATTAGATATCATAACTTTATGGTTACCTTAGAAACTCCAATCAAATTCTTGAAGATGAAACTGGAACCAAATAGATTGTAGGAATTCGAATATATCGACATGAAATGGGACTATATCTGGTTCAATGACAACAACAAATCAGAATAAACATCAATATGTACACTTTCCATTGCAATGATTTAGTTACACAGGACATATGATCAACTAACATACTGACAAGCCCCTGAAAACTGCAAGAAACACACTTCAACCCGCATAAGACTGGGAAGCAAGTCCTGAAAGCAAATATTAAGGCTGGGGAAAGGAAGAACAACACTCTTGCTTGCGAAGAACCAAGTGGCCAATCTTTGCTAACCTAGCACGGCACAACCTCGGCTCTCAATAGACATGCCAGACATTGATAAAGTGAAATGACTGGAGAAGACTATTGATAATGAAAAATCTTCTTTGTCTGTCAAGGTTTTAGCCCAAGATGTTTCCTTGTCTTTCCTACATATAAGTCTCCAGATTTGATCATGCCAGGGATGCAACCACTAATTGTCAATAATGGGAATTGCGCAACTCCCTCTTTCCTCCCGAGTGACACAAGTGCAATGTCTAAACCGGGCTTGTAAGTAGCCATCTTGCTTTCATTTCCTCCCATCAGCAACAGCTTAAGGTTCTTGGCAGTCACTTCAGCATGTCTTTGTGCTAAATAGCCTTGTTTGATCTCCTGTTAAGATATTGTGTTTATCAGTTTAAGTAAGATTTTGTCCAAAACATAAAAAGTCATAGATATTGATAGGTGAGCATACCTTAACATCGGTTATATCTCCTACTGCGAAGATATTTTTATGACCCATAACCCTCAAGTTTTCATCAACCATTAGTCTTCCTTGCATATCCAAATTATTCTGCACAATAGTCCCCCTAAGCCATGATGAACCTGTTGGTTTACCCGTGCACACAAAGTGACAATCGGCTGTGATAATTTCTCCAGAAGGTGTTTGAATAATAGGATCAGATAAAGTGTTCAAATTAATGGTTTCATCCAAAATAACTTCAACTTTTTTTGATATCAACCAATTGAGTGCCTTTTGGGACGCCTTCAAACCAATGAATTCTAGCAGCCTTGACCCCCTGTGCACCAGTATCACCTTCTTTTCTGGAAAATCCGTAGCAATTTCACCAGCAAGTTCAACACCAGTGGGGCCCCCTCCAACAATCAAAACTGATTTAGCAGAATTTATCTTAACAAATTCTGTACACAGACAAAGAATAAAGTCAGTTTTGATGTCGAATGCTCCTCTATGATGCACAGTACATTACAATTAAGGCATAGAAGTATGTGCAGAAGTCTTGTAGGCTTCTCCATGGTGCACAATACATTAAAATTATAATTCAGTTTTAATTTTTCCATTTCCCCTCGGACTTTTTGTTGGGGGTAGAGCAGTTAAAAATCCATTACATGCAATTTCAGAGAAAAAGGGTATGAGATTTCATACATGAGTTAGGTGGCTATATAAAGGAAGTTTGATTTCAAATAAATCTTCACTTTAATGAAGTACCAAATTTAATCATGCAAACGTACAAGAGCACAACTGCAATTCCACTTATGCAACTTTAGGTATTACCTGCCTCATACTGACTGAGCCTCTCAGCTCTGGTTTTGGGAACAGCTTCCTTGTGACCAGTGGCAATAACAAGATATTCATATACAAGCAAATGGCCATCTGTAGTCAACACTTCACGCTCTGTGATGTTAGCTGCAGTAGATGCAACAATCCTCACATTGGGAAGATAATCGGAGTGATTAATCACTGATCTTTCAGCAAATGATGGCTCCACCATTGCCCTCAAGCTTCCCCATGGGATCTCAAAATACTCCTTCCTGTTGTCATAGATTTTAACACACAAGGTCACGATAAAGAAAATCACTAAAGAAAAGAAAAAATAACAAAATAACTTGATCTGTAAGTGATATTTGAGACAAAATTAAATAATAAAAATTCAACTTATGCTTTGGGTAGACTTATAGCTGCAACTAAATTATGCACACTGGGGAAGAGATGGACAAGAAACAAGGGATGACAGAAAAGAAACCATGATTCTTTTTTATAAATGAGAAATTTATTGAAAAAATCCCAAGAGAGCATCACCCACGCAAGTGGTACACAAAAGATCATCAGAGAAAACACAATATTTTAACAATAAAGAAAAACGGGAGAAACAACGAAACTCAAATTAAGGGAACCACAACATGCTTGTTGATCGGTGCATAAATTACATATCATTTTGTACCCTTCTAGCTTATGATTTGGTTATGTTTTTGAGTTAAACTTGTGCTTTTAATCCTTTTTGTGTTTATCTTTCAGTTCATTGAGCTTTAGGTAATAATGAGGGCTTTGGATAGTAAATGATGCAATCCATGCATGTTAGGGCCTAATTTGGATGAATGGATGAAGAGCTTAAAGACAAACTCAATTTTGGCTACAGTCCCCTGCCAGCCCAGTTTCGTAGGTCATATTGCAAGCTTTGTTTCAGCAAC